ATGTTTGTTTTATTCTAAGACATAACATAACCACTATTCCAACAAAACACTGTAATGTAGTTAACTTGGCTGCTCTTTGGCTTGAACAAGATTTTGTGTGCATTCCTAGCAGCATTAGCTGCCTCTCCAATCTGGTGTAAACTCTCATTACATAAATATTATAATTATACATTATAACTTGTTTACCAGGATTTTGAAATCTATTGGATAGTGGATCCATGGTGGGACGTTGAGAATGGCAACTCCAACGTTTGGATTATCCAGTTATCCAATGAGGCATTACCTGTTCTAGATTAGTTTACTGTATCTGCTTTCCATACCGTTTTTGTCCCTGATGGAGACACAGTGGTGTTGAAACATTAGTCATTCTAGTCCCTTTTTTCTCTTGGAGATATTTTCCTTAGTTTTTGTATTAACTCCATGTCAGTGTTGCTGCTGTTCGTAGTAAACTAGTTAATTCAAACTTCTAAAATTGTTGAGTCAACATTGTTGGGCAAAGAGCACAACCCACCTGCCCTGAACCCTGTGTGAGGTGTACCTGTCTGCACCAGTGATTCTCAAGGACACACTCCTTCAGAGTCTGACCCACAAGACGAAATGCTGGAGTCACTACAGTGAATCAATGCCAAATCCCATTCACTCAAACCCCATCACTGTGGCTGATTTCACAGTTTGATCATTTGGTTATGTGTTCATCTTTTCAGACAACATGCATGTTTTAATAGTATGCAGTACATTAACCTAGTATCAACAAATGCAGATATTCATTCTATATTCTAGCCCACCATTTTCAATGTCTTACATCTGGGACTAATTATTCCTTGCTAGTGTGTGTACATACGCCAGTTATGAAGAATTTACACAATGTTACCCGAGGGCTTAGAACGGCAACACAGGGAAATGTTGTTTCTTCGTTGTGTTGAACGCAATAAGTGCTCTACAACTGAAAGTGAATCTGGTGTTGACAGAAGTGTTAAGGTGGAGCAGACAATGCAGCAGCGGCTCTTACAATGTGGTTCAAGGCTGTGTCGCAGTTGTGTACTTGAGCTGCACAATGCTTTGGTATGGGCGAGGAAGGGACACATCCCATAACCAAGGCCCTCTGTGGATCAAAACAGCTCCCCTATAGTTCAGTGAATCTAATTGTTATTCTGGAAGTGATTAAAAACTGTAGCGCAAAACTGCTGCACTGCATAAAGGCAGATAAACAACACATTACACAATGTGCCACATCTTTAACTTGAAGGAGAGTAAAGGTTGTGAGTCAGCAAGTGGGACAGAAATACCACTGATCAGACTCAATACGAATGACTGTTTTTAGTGTGGCACCGTATCCTGATGGGACAATGAAGGGAGGTCAGATATCCAGGTTTCACCTTTTGTTCTCTTCAGATGACTGACAGGTTGCTTCGGCAAGATGTTGACCCCTTTAATTGTCTGTTTTGGTATGTTTGGTCTCCAACATGGAAGATTGTGCTCTATTAATGTGCACGTCCTCCACCAGCAGCGCACCAAACAGTTACTGTTCATGATCCACCCAGCGCTTTATCAGATGGAAACGGACTATATGTTGTGATGACCCAGACGTGACGTCTTTAAGTCATCATCTTTGTTGTAACCTTAATGAGAACATAAAACTTGTTGAGGATGCTTTGTGAGCGCACACTCAGACACAGTCCCCTGGGGGGCCTGTCGTTGTAGGCGGTGCTGCCTAACCCGCCCAGGAGATGCATGACCCAGATGCTTGATGAATGGACGTGAATAGTGTAGGTGTGGCGCAGGTCAGGCGACGTTCATCAAGAGTGAACAGGAAATCAGCGACTTAGAACAAAACGTAATGGACTCACTCAAAGTAAAAAAAACTATAAATTAAATACACTTGTTATAGTTGGTAAGATTCGAAAAAACGTTAAAGGGAAGATGTATACAAATGATGCATGTGAACATGCGGAGAAATATCTCTATAGATCTTAACAAATAAGTGATAAGACTTTAGTGTGTTGCCCTGGGAAATCAAGACATGCTTAATTACAAGCACGGTCAAGAACAGAAGTCATAGCAGAGAAAAATGTGTTATCGGTTTAACAATGTAATATTTTTCTGATATTTTATTGCATAATGGAGCCAGTCAAGCTGCAGTATGAGACATACACTTTTCAATGTACATCTAAGTCTAACAATGTAGAAGCCTGCCTTGAAGAAGCACTAGTAGATGGAGAGGAGCAGCAAACGGAAAGGGATGGGAGAGGTAAGGAGACAGGGACACAAGGAGAGGTTTGGCTGCCAGCAGTCAGCCTCATAGAAAAGGTCACTTCCAAAGTAGCCTGCCATGGGGGGTCGGGACAAGCATCCCATAAAGCAGATAAAGAACAATAGCAGGAACCATAGGCCACAAAATGGAGCCAATCCCTGGCGAAAATAATAAAGAGGCCCCGTTAGATCAGGACACACACACTCAGCATGAAGGAGACAGGGAGGATGAGATATTTATATAATGTGATTAATGCTAACGCAACAAGCCATCGTGAGGTATGCTGCCAGACATAACTCCACGCCTCACAACAACTCATAAAGCTTGTCTTCCGGGAAAGAGCTGCCCTGCAGAAACATCAATAACGCTGTTGATGTGAACAAGACAAACTAGAGTGTATCAAATGTATTTAATTTCCCATATTTAAAAACTTGAAGTGATCTTAAACAAGTGGGTCTTAACCAGGGATACAATGGCCACCAGGGGTCCTTGAGGGGGTTTTATGTGGCCCCCAGAAAAATGGGGAATAGTTTATTTTCACTATTTAATTAACTTTAGAAGTGAGCCCAATATGAGTATGAGTGATAAGAGTGACGCTATTGATCATAGGGTTGATTTCCTCCATGGTTATTTACTAACTTTAGTTGACATATCTGCTTACAGTACAACCAATTGTGTGGATACCCTGTTTGTTGTTGCTTTTTGGCTAATGGAATGCACATTGGATTGTAAAAGTGGTACAACTGTATTCATTGTGGCTCGGTGTGCCACTCGGGTATTCTCATTTTCATTGTTTAGATTTATAAAGAGCTGTCTGTGTTATGGTGGTGCATAAGGGTTTCGTCTAGTTTGGGGTTAACACTCCATATCCTTTTCCATTCAACGCATTGTTCCTTTTACCACTGATTAATATCTTGTTTAAACAGCCCGCAGACACACCACGCCGTCTGTATGTTCATAAATCCTCTGGAGCTGATCAACACAATGGTCCACATTCCTGACATTTAAAGGAAGTCCCTTATATCTCTGCATCTCCTCTCCACACGAGACACAGACGTTCTAGGAATATGACACAGGAACAAAAACAACTCTCTACTCGCTGTCTGTTTATTTCATTTCGTTAAAAACATTAGTGAGACATCACACTTTGGGGGGTGTCCAGCCAGTGCTCTACCTTTGTAACACATCGCTGGACCTCTCACCTACACCCTCTCGGACTCCAGTTACATCTTTAGCAATGTTTCCTCTCTCATGGAATAACAACAGGTGGGCAACATTTCCTTCAACATTAGACATTGTTTTCCTTTTTCAAATTTAGAATCTAAAATAGTCATAGAAAGAAATGGAGACATTTATCAGGGTTAAATCATTTGACCTGACTCCAGCACTGCGCTGTATGTGGGATTACCAAACACCCCCTGTATTCCTCTGGGCTGATGAAGTGAAGCAATATGTGATAATACTAATTATTTTATCTTCATTAGATTAAAACTGTGGTTATAAAGGTTTTTACATTACAGTAACAATGAATCAAATATACACATGTAATGGGTCAGAGGTCATGCAGTAATAAACCAAGTTATCATCCGACTCTGCAGCTCTTTAACCTCTTTTAGCTAGTAGTTTCAAGGGGCAAATCTTTGCTGTACTTTAGTTTAATTTTCTCTAGCAGCATTATGGCCCCCTGACAATCCCAGTTATACCTTCTATATACAGTCTATGAGTTAAACATACTGTACGCTTGTGTTCATGTTACCATGCTTGATGATCAATGACATTTTTACCTAATATGGCCACAAGGTAGAACCGACCCACACATGTTAGATGCTTTATCATCTTTGATGTAGATTTACATTTGTCGGTTCATTTTCAATGGCTTTACACTTTCCGCCCTTCTTTCCAAAGTCTAGGCCCATTCAAGTCAAAGTCCTTGGGTGTTGTCTAGCACAACAATTGAAAATGGTGGCATTGCCTGCACTTCCTCACGTAGCCCCATGAGATGGGAGAGCACCCAATATTGGGCTTACCCCAGAGATACATTTCCTTTGATTCATATCCACCAAGTCATACCTACCCTTTTGCCTCTTACTCGCTAAAACTTTAAAGAAGTACAGTTCTATTTCAATGAAATGATGCTTAGACTTACAAGCTTAATCTTTGCAAACAATATGTTATGACGAGCAGACACACATATCCTGTTTTATCTTGTATTTCTCCCACCCTTGGATTCACTGACAGAGAACAACATCTCACTCATCGAACACAATCTCTGATCAGAGTCAAGGTGTGGTTTGATCCATGAACCAGGCTGCCATGTGTGATTGAGTTTCACAAGGGTCTCATGGGTACCAGACCCCTTTCCTTGTGGCTACACAGTTTAAACACCCATCCATTACGGACATCCATCCTTCTCGGAAATGAAACTCTTATACCAGACAGGGTTTGAGGTTACAACTCAGCTCCAGCAACAATACCACCTTGATCCCTTTAGACGTATCACAGTGGTATACATTGTATGACTTAATTGTGCTCCCTCTGAGCCTATACCTCCCGCGGAGGACATAAGGGATGATATACTGTGTTTTGCACAAGGTTTGTGTGTATGTGTGTGACTGTGTGTGACTGTGTGTGTGAGATGGGTCGTGAGTTTGTGTGTGTGTGTGTGTGTGTGTGTGTGTGTGTGTGTGTGTGTGTGTGTGTGTGTGTGTGTGTGTGTGTGTGTGTGTGTGTGTGTGTGTGTGTGTGTGTGTGTGTGTGTGTGTGTGTGTGTGTGTGTGTGTGTGTGTGTGTGTGTGTGTAAGGTTGGATGTCTGACTTTCTGTGGGAAGAATAATCCTTCCAGCAGTAGGACCCAGAGGATTTTAGAATGACCAACTGGACCAGCACACCTTTATGTTGTCTGAGGCAGGACAAAGATGTGAAAAAAAGTTGTTGAACACTGTAACAAAAAAGGTCGAGCTTGGAGCCATGTCATTGGCTAAGAAGAGTGAGAGAGGAAAATGCAATGGCTCTTGAGGTCAGAGCAGAGGCAGCTATAAATGAATCACAACAGACAGACAACACCTTTACTAACTCCACAGCAGCGCTTGCATGGTGAGCTACCATCACTCATCTCAACAGGGGCAATATGAGCGCGTCTGTGGCCGTGTACAGGAATATTTACACGGAGGACCGCTTCAAGCAGGCCTATGGCTCCGATGATAGCACGAGTGGAAGTCTGCGGCTCCGGGAGAAGCTCGCGGGGAGTTGCAGGTGTTCAAGACGAGCGTGCCTCCACCTGTTGAGAGAGAGAGTTCCCATTTTCAACTGGCTGCCACGATACAGACTGAAGAAATGGATTTTAGGAGATACTATTGGCGGCCTGACGGTCGGTATTCTCCACATTCCTCAAGGTGAGCTAACAGAGAAGCGTCTGGATCAAAGTTGATGGCATTAATAATGCACTGTTATAAGTGTTTCATTTTAGAATCATTTAAGCCAGGATTTTTCAAAAATAAATAACACCCTTACAATGATAACATAACTTAAAATGCTAATATGTTAATGATAATTATGAATATAATTAATTTGATGATAAAAAAACCTACAACAAAATAAATAAATAATACACGCAATAGTTATTAATATGACTACAATTATTATTGTAAACAACTATCCAAATAATTTGAAGTATTGCAAGGTTTTGATAAGTTTTCAACATTTCTATTAATTAACAGTTTGATGAAAACTATCAAAGTGGAGATTATTGATTATTATTATTGTTATCCATTATTGTTGTACTCATTATGCATGAGCCATATTAGCCTGCATAACGGTTTAACATTCTGATCATGTCTTTACTGATAAACTCTTTCCTTCCCTAAACAGGCATGGCCTTCGCCTTACTCACATCTGTGGCACCAATATTTGGCCTTTACACCTCCTTCTTCCCTGTGGTCCTCTATATGTTTTTTGGCACAGGTCGTCACGTGTCCACAGGTAAGCCTCGTGCCATATAACATCAGCTGTTTACATCTTAGAGAAGCAAAACAAAACTTTTTTTTAACAGGGTTACATTATCTCATGCATTCTTCCTGACCTCAATATCTCAGTTAGTATGTTTACACTGTTACTGATGTGATATATTGTTGCCTTCAGGTACCTTTGCTGTCGTGAGTCTGATGACTGGCTCTGTGGTGGAGCAGCTGGTTCCCACTCCTCTGGAGATGAACTCCAGTTCCTCTGAAGCAGCTGACTTCGAGGCCCAGAGGATCGGGGTTGCCTCAGCTGTAGCACTTCTCTCAGGAATTATTATGGTAAGAAAGTCACGGTCACAAACTCAAAAAGTAATACAACTGAGATGACAGATCTTTGTATTTGTTGACTTGATTCCCCAACACAGCAATAACTATAATCTCTTGTGCCCCAGCTCTGTATGTTTGGTCTTCAGCTGGGCTTCCTCTCCACCTATCTGTCAGAGCCAATTGTTAAGGCTTTCACCAGCGCTGCTGCCTTCCATGTCACAGTGTCACAGATACAAAGCATGCTGGGACTGCGGCTCCCTCGCCACACTGGGACCTTCTCCCTCTTTAAAGTAAGCACCGTTTCACTTTGACATCTTAATGGTCTGATCTAACATGTCATTTTTGGAATTTGCTCACTGATGTGTGTGTTCAGACTTTAGCGTCAGTGATGGAGAACCTGCCTCACACCAACATGGCGGAGCTGCTGATCTCCATGGTGTGTTTGGCTGTTCTGGTGATAGTTAAAGAAATCAACATGCGTTACAGAAAGCGCCTTCGTACACCAATCCCTGTGGAGATCCTTACGGTTAGTCATCTGGATTTTTGAATGTTGAGGATTTTCTCTTAACGATGTAATCAGGTTATAATTCATTGTTTTATCTTTCCTTCTCAGGTGATTATTGCTACAGGTGTGGCCTACGCCTTCTCGCTGGATTCTTCTTACAACATTGAGATCGTTGGCCACATCCCAGCTGGGTAATCTTTTAGAAAAAAAGAAAAACAGACATCGTTTTTTTCGGAAATGTCAAGGAATTTGAATTTGAATTCTTCTATCCTCAGATTCCCAAAGCCACGGATGCCTGCCGTGCACACTTTCCCTGACATCGCTGGAGACACAGTAGCCATCACATTTGTTGGATACGCTGTGTCGGTGTCTCTTGCAATGATTTATGCCGATAAACACGGCTATTCCATACATCCAAACCAGGTAAAGTGTGAGAATGTCACAGCTATTTGTAGACATGTCATGCTCTCACAAATCTGTTAACTTTTTGTTTTGAACCTGTGCTTTATTTCAGGAGCTCCTGGCTCACGGTATCTCCAACACGGTATCCTCTTTCTTCACCTGCTTCCCCAGCTCAGCCACTCTCGCCACCACTAATATACTCGAAAGTGCTGGAGGATACACACAGGTAGGTTACATGATGTACAAATGTTTCTGTCACACTCACAAACCTTTGATCTAATTAAGCAACACATTGCCGTTCAAACGTAAAAAAGGAAACACTCTTTTGCATATTGTTCATCACTCTCAAATTGCAACTTTAAATTAATATATTTCCTGATGCTTTAATCACAGCAGAAAAATAAGCATATGTTGTGATAAACAGAGAAATGCAAATGTCTGATTCGACATTTTTACATCATAGTTCTGTTATAAAAAACGACATATTGGGATTTCATAAGCTTGCATCCACTTGAATGTAGTTGAAATTATTTCAAACTTAAAAGTGCATTTACACCCAACTGTTTTAGGATATGCTTGGATGTTAAACTTCTTTATTATCAATGCAGAAAATGCTAAAAATAAGAAGCAAAGCATGTCAAACTCACAACGATTTCCAGTAAGGATGTTTGTCATGTGTGTTCCTGCAGCTGTCCGGCTTGTTCACAAGTCTGGTTGTCCTGATTGTCCTGCTGCTGATTGGCCCGCTCTTCTACTTCCTACCAAAGGTGTGTTTTTATGTGTGTGTCTGTACAAGAGTGAGAGAAAGAAACAGAAGAAAAGTGAATTTACCTTATCCATTATTTCTCTCCCCAGGCAGTGTTGGCATGCATCAATGTGACCAGCCTCAGGCAGATGTTCCTGCAGTTCCAGGACTTACCTGAACTGTGGAGAATCAGCAAGATTGACTTGGTGAGGCTTTGGATCAAAACAGCAATATGAGATATACAAGTGTATTCTGCTATACAGTCCCTGTGCATACGAAACACAAGAGTGAAATACAGATGGTTAATTAGCTCCCTAGCTACCATTAGGTAAACAACTGACCCATAAAGCACAGCTAATTGGGTTTTTTGTAATATCTTCACATATCAGCTCATGTTATCCTGCTCAGCCTGTGGTCATTTACACACACAAAAAACAGTGCTTACTTTAGCTAATTTGGAGTAAAATATACTGTTGTTTCAGCAATATATTGTACCTCTTATTTGGTGTTTAAATAAAAAACAACTACTCAAGGCTGAAATTCAAATTGTGAATAATTGAGTTTACAGCTGGAGTTGTGTAAACTCGCACAGTTTGTCATGTACATTGTTCATTGTTATATTCCGACATGACAACACTCTGTTGTTCTGGCCTGTCTAGATGGTGTGGGTGGTTACCTGGCTCTCTGTAGTGGTATTGAACGTGGATCTTGGCCTCGCTATCGGAGTGGTTTTCTCGATGATGACCGTCATCTGCCGCACACAAAGGTACATTTTCCATCCCCTTTGCTGAAAAACTGTGGTGCCTCTGAACTAAAATGAATCACAGAGAAACATTGAATCCATTCATACCTGTCAGGCTACGTAGATGATATGTTGTATTGAGTTCAATAAAAGTTGATGGCCTATGGTTCTAACAGGGCAGGCTGTTCAGTGCTTGGTCGGGCCAGCAACACAGAAATTTACCGACCTCTGGAGAACCACAACAAGGTGAGAAGACTCTCTTATTGCTTCATACTTGCTTTGTTTTTATATCACATAGGAGAGCAGCATGTTTAATAATACTTAGATTTAGGCACATCAAATGTCAAATCTTATTCCAACAAGTGCTAATCATATTCTCAGAGGTGATGCAGCCTTTCCAAGAATGAAGTTAGGACGCTCCTGTTTTCTTTTCAGTGCTATGAGGTACCTGGAGTGAAGATCCTGACATACAACGGGCCTATTTACTACGGGAACCGTAGCTTCTTCAGGGAGGAGATGAGCAAGCTGCTGGGCCTGACGCCAGAGAAGATCCGCAGCCGAGAAAAAGCTAGAAAAGCCCTGGAGAAAAGAGAGAGAGACGCCACCGTCAGCACTGTGGTAAAAAGACTATTCTATAATAAAAGAATGAGCCGAGTTAAAAATAAAACAATATAAAATGTAAGTGTCTAATGTTTTGTTTTTTTCTCCCTTCATTGTTGTTTAGGAGAGAGGCATTGCAAACACATTGTTTTCTTCAGAAAATGAGTTCTTCAAATCTGGTAAGTAATGAACAATTTTGGATGGAATAAAGGCATCCATAAAGGTTATTTGATCATGTTGAAAAACACTGTTATATTTAAACAATTCCAGACCTGTTTTCAGACCTGTGCTGCAGAAAATGTCAAGTTTTTCTTTCATTTTCCCTTTTTTTTCTGTAGAAACATCAGAGAGTGACGTTCAGGCAGTGTTAATCGATTGTAGCAGTGTGACATTTGTTGATGTTGCTGGAGCAAGACTTTTTGCACAAGTTAGTACTCTCCCAATGCAACACTGAATGCTTTTAAATTCAATTTATAGGGTTATCTAAATTGTTTGTGCATTGACATAATTAATTGGTTGGGCTCTTTGCAGGTGTGTACTGAATGCCAGAAAGTTGGAGTTCATGTATATCTGGCAAACTGCAATGGTAAGGCCTATGTTTCAGAATTACTTTATTTATTATTAATGATTCCATCCACTGTTTTCTCTGTTGAAACTAGTTCACAGCTTGCACACAGTGAATGATCAATGTTTTCTGTCCCCTCAGAGAGTGTCTTAAAGATCCTAACGTCGAGTGGTCTAATGACCTACATGAACCCTCAACATATTTTTGTCACTGTTCATGATGCAGTGATGTATATTCAACAGCAGAAGGTAAGCTATAATACATGCATTTTTACAAATACACAAAATGTTCATTAAAGTATTAAACAAACGATGCAACTTCTGTTGTCTGTTGCAGGAAAAACCTCCAGAGAGCACCACGACTGTTTGGGTGTGAGCCATGAGGAAAGTGATGAGTCATGCTCTGACGAAGGCACACTGCAATAAGACTTCAGCAGGGACTCTGTCTCTCAGCTGCATAGCAATGCTCCACTATTTGGTCCATACTTCACTATATTATAAAGAAGCAGTAGCCTGTTTTAGCACTATGTCATGAATAACAATAATTGTAACATTACAGTGTTAACAGTTTTACCACGGATACTGGATTCACTCCTGGCACACATTACATTTCTGAGGGCTTTAAAGTATGCAGATACAAGAGACGTACTCATATATTTGGTCCAAAAAAAAGAAGAAATAAACAAATATGTTATTTTTGACTTATTCCTATAGAACTGTATATTGCAGATTTTTTTTCTTATATGCTGGAATATTAGCACAGTGGTATTTATTTCGTTTCTGTTGGTTGTTTGCAATACTGATGAATATAAAGTGCACTGAATAGTTTGTTAAAATACTTTGTGTATTTATATATTTTGAAATATGTGCTTGACTATGCAACTATGTACAAAAAGATCTCACTGCCTTAAAAAGTGTATGTATTTTAACTCCAGAGAGACTGCACAAATTGTATTAATTACTTTTGTATTTGTCAAACGTTTTGACAATAAATATATCTTCAAACCTGACCTTTTTGTTGATTTAAATTACATTTAGTAATGTAGCTACTAAGGGTAAATACAATTTAGGGTATAGGTAGTTTGGAATTTGAAGCATGCTGCTGTCAGATTTTGAAAAGAGAAAGAGAGCCGTCTTTGTATTTGGTGAGACCTGTGTGTCTGCACTGAGAAATAATAAAAACTAGAAAATACAGGATTCACAGGAGACTTTTCTTTTTGCCATAGCAGGTGTAAGCTTGGGAAACAGGCCACAGGTCATCAGTCCTGCAGAATTATGGTTTATTTAAAATGCAAGCCATGCTATATATTAATACAAACCTGTTATTATATGAAATGTATGGATCCGGTGCATCTACTGCTAAATGAAAATGTGTACAATATATAACAAAGTATGACAAAACATTCTGTAATTAGATGTTTTACCCGGGGATGTAAATGTCATGACATGAATAGAAAGTGATGCCTTACCTCACCACTGTGCTGCCCTCTGCTGTCCCGACAGTTAGAGGTTTTCCCCCCACTGCTCATCATCACAATCCCATTACCTTGACCTGATAAAACTATACGTAGTACGAGTTCAAAACCAGGTTGAAAAAGGAAAAAACTAATTATTTCCTTGCTTGATGTTGGATAGCCAAGTTATTAATTTTTTCCAGTGCATATTTCAAAGAGGCCTCTAGACAGTGTACCCTTTGGGTTTTCCTTTAAAGCTCAAGGAGTGTTTCACTAATTGGCAGGAAGTAGTCCACTTCAATTAGAACATGGTACACAAGGCTCTGGCCAAATGTTTACTAAGCCAGATTCTACCGGCAGACCTACTAACGTGCGCACACACAGAAACACACACACACACACACATATTCAGAAAGTTGCCATATGAACTCCTCGGGGAAGTTCAGAGATTTGATGACAAAGCTTTGATTTACCTTTGATAAAGTGCTTACAGGTAACATGTAAAGCATGTGTTATGGAAATGTTAGTTGACCTAGACATACCTAAAGACAAAAAATAAAACAAATACAATAAAAAAACTGTGTCAAATGTACAAAAGGATCAAACTAAAAGTAATATCTGGTATTTCTAATTAATGTAATTTCTGCAGAAACAGCAAGCAATTTAATGTACCTTAAACCAAGAGTGGTCATAGTCATACAATGTATAATCATTACACCTATTACTTCTGCAACTGTTACTCCTAATTATAACAATGATGCTACAATGATAATAGTGTTATGTTTCTCTTGACAAAGCAGAGGGTTTTTCAGCTTATTGGGATCTTTCCTGTGAGCTTTTGTTTCCATCTTGTGGTGAAACATTGTAATGACAGCTGATGTCTCAGCATGTTCTTTATCCTGGAGGGTCACATGACTTTCTAGAGATGTAATAATAATAAATGTAATGACTATATTGACGGAGGATTAAAACCCATGTTGGAAAATAAACTGGTGTTTTGTGAATCTGTTTCTCCAGCAGATGAAGCTGCATCTTTATTTATTCTATCATTGGGTTGTTCAAATATTAACTTTTTCTGTGACACACTGACTCTGACACTGACTCTACATCTTGTTAGGAAAATATCAATCGACACCAGAGGCCTGTACTACGAAGCTGGATTTTCGCTTAGCCGGCTAAATTCAGGGAAATCTCGGGCTTTCCGGTCCTACGACGCTGGTTCTCTTTTTAGCAGGCTAGATTTCCATGGTAACTTATGCTGAGCGGCAAACCTGCTCCGGAGCAGGTTAGGTGGCAGGCTAAGAGATCAACTCAGTGAAAGCACCGCCTGCTGACCAATCAGAGCTCAGTGTGCGGAGTTTAAAGCGATCAATTCATATTACAGTATAGAGGAAATACAGAAAAACTGCCGGCCAAAATCAACTGACTGTGTGAACGTGAAAATTAATAGAATATCCTCTCCCATCTTCAGAGCAATCTGACTATTATAACATTAGCGTTAAGAAAGCTTACTTAAATATCTGCCACGACATAAGTAACCGGATCAGAGTAACATTAAGTACAGTCCGCGGCACTGTGAGTGCAGACGTAGATGTGTCCCATTATCATTCATATCATATCACATCATAATGTATCATATATTTCCTTATTTGAGTCAGCTTCTTGAGCCGTATCTGGCCGTGCAACACTCACAGTGTCACATACTGTATGCAGAAGTATTATTTAGCAACACATTAAGTTGACGAAACACTCGAGTCAAATTCTCCTAATTAAAGTCAGATCCACTCGTGTCTTGGACAGGGCAGTGATATCATAAACCTGTTAATGTACGCATTCAAACACTTTTTCTTTTACCAGCTGTATTCACCTTGCAGGTGCAGCTATGTGGCTTTTATCCTGGATAAAGTGTTTAAGTCATGGATGTTTAAAGTTTAACTTCTTCATATTTGACTAATATTAAAGTTCACTTTTCATTCAGGAAGTATGACGCTGCGCTGTCAGTACGCTTCTCCGTGTTTGAGATTGGTCGAATGCTCCAAATACCACCCCTTTCATGTGAACGCGCACCTAACTAGATAGGACACGGCGGCTTGAGCGATCCACTTGATATCCAGCGTCGTAGTACAGTTTAGCGCCAGCGGGTATGTTTTGGCTTGGGCCAACCGGCTAACTCCAACATATCCAGGTTAGGTTGAACCAGCTTCGTAGTACAGGCCTCAGGTTGAGAATCAATAATCAGGTTGTAGTGATCACTTATTAATACACTGGGTTACATAATTCAATCAAGGAACTACAGGTTGGGGGTATTGTTCCGCACGGACACAAATGTTGACTGTACCTCCTGTGTACTTACTGCGTGCCCTCCCTTTCGCTTTCTCTTCTCTTCCCGGGCTGCGACCGACAACATGTGGTTTTCTGCTGCTCATTAAAGCACCACTTTGTACCTTCAATGCACCGCTTCCGACTCCTATCTCTCGGCACTACAGGTTCTAATTTATTCTTGCAAGAAGGAGCAGAGTTAAATCACATACAAAGGATATGGTTTAACTCACACACATGGGGTATGTTACTCAACGGAGCAGCAAAAAACATCAGGCTTATATAGTCCAAAACACGGAGATAGATAACAACAAAGTCAGCCGCGGGTGTCGGAAAGTCGGGTCATCTGCGATGGGTCTACTGTGACATCTTCTGGACTTATAATAAGTGAGATATGTAGGAGACAACAAGTATGTGCCTGTCTCCTCATAAAGATCAACAACCTGAAATGCCTTGCCTCCTCCTATCATAAAGAGGCAGCTGCAAGGTCGTAAACAGTTCAGAATCACACATGATATCAGTGCATTAAAACAAACCCAAAGAGGAGACAACAGTATTTTCTCCAACACATCTCCTCAGTATATATTGATCAAACATGGGAGGGTTTGTTAGTTTGGACTGGATTGTGTATAAATGTCAGGCTTCTTTCCTAAAGCTTACAGGACCCTAATGTTTTCAGTTTCCCATGGCTTTTCATAGACCTATTAGTAAGCTGTCACCTAATAACAAAAACGTAAACGTTTATTTACTTGTTTTTTTAATTTTTGTTGGAGTCAAACACAAGTAGGCTACAGATCACACGTGGTTGTTAAACCGAACAATATAAATGAGCTGAAAAGGAACAAATTATGCAAAAAATTAAAGCAAAAAATGCAGGTAGAGCTTTACATCTAATCTAGATTCATCGCTGAAGCATTTCAGTTGAAGGCTTTTTCAAAAGCATTAACCGTATTAACCGTAAATATTGTTGTAAACAAATCACACCATTAAACATCTGTCTTTGGGAAATATATGTTGGAACCTTACTTCTCTAAAAGACTCTGAGGAGAGAAGTGTTGCCCATGGCTTCTATTTAATTACATAGTCCATATTTTCTGTTATGGTTGCTGTTTTGTCCTTTGGAAATAAGGACTTTAAGAGCTCATTTAGTTTGTACTTTATAGGTTGTTCAGCAAGTGCCCATATTGACTACATTTGTAGAGTTGCAATTAACAAACTGGGCAGTAGAAACATTCTTTTTGGTTTAATGGGTGTAGGGCAGGGGTGTCAAACTCAAGGCCCGGGGGCCAAATCCAGCCCGCAACTTCATTTTATGTGGCCCCACAAGAGCTTGCAAAGAATATAATATGTTTATTATACGGTTACATGCTACTTTACAGAAGCACGTTGCCCATAAACGACATGTCCCACAATGCATCTCAAATTTGACTTTTTCTCAGAATTTGACTTTTTTTGTCCAAATATGCCTTTTTTCTTAGAATTAGCCTTTTTCTCATAATATTATTGAATAATTCAAAATGTCACTTCTCTTTTTCAAAATGTCACAATCAATGTTTTTCCAGAATGTGGCTTTTCTTTTAAAATCATATTGTGACATTCTTACTGAAGAGACTTGCAATTATTTGCTCTAGACTTCTGCTTTCAGACATAGTTAATAATGAAGTTATATTAATTAATGATATAGTCTTAAAGTTACAACCGGCCCTTTGAGTGCAACCATAATGCTGATGTGGCCCGTGATGAAATTGAGTTTGACACCCCTGGTGTAGGGTGTCAGTTACCTTTCAGAGAAGCAAGCCAACTACTGTCTTTACATCTGTCTTTTTTCCCACTTACAGAGCAAAATGCACAAATAAATGATCTGTTACTGTGACACTACAAAAAAAAAAAAAAACATTATTGACATTTTCCAGCAAGTACCACAGATTTTGTTTTAAATAAAATACATTCAACAGCATCGAGTTAACTCTAGAGCGGAGTTTCAAGGGGGGTAAGACAACCGGATAACAATTATGATCAGCAAAATTAGATATCCATTCAAAAGTCTGTGTTCTAGACACAGTTACAGATAAGATTGTACACCTTACACTTACTCCAATAGATTTTTAGTGCAAATTAACCTTGAACATACTGGTTAAAAAGAAGCCAATACATCAATGATTATGGATCACTTGAATTCATGAATGTGGACACAGATTATTTAGATCTATCATCTATCTCTGTGATGAAGGGCCAAATAACCATACAAGGAAACCATAACCACTTATTAAACAGTTAAGGTAATTACAGCTTATCAGATAGGGCTGTGGGTGTGTGTCTTATAGTAAAGAACCACTGCAAGTCACAGTAACTATGGCAAAAAACACCATGATACTTTCAGTGCATTTAGTTGAGGTTCACACTATATATGGAGGTGTATGTCTGTTAGAACTTCTCTGTCTGTACCATGAGTCGTAATCTGTTCACACAATCCGTTAAACAGTAAGTGCTTCAGTAATAAACAAAGTGTAACATATAAAAATGTAATTTTTGGCAGTCTTTACGTGAGAATAAATGATGAACTCACATTATGGCAGCAAAAAGACCAACAATATGGTTTATTGACTGGTCTCACATTTGAACCTGTTCTTGAAGTAGAAGACTTCCTGATGAATTTTACGGTCATTACTGGAAGGTGAATAGCGGAATTTATCATAGGTCTTTTGTGATTCTGTTTTACTCCAGGGTAGCTGGATCTTTGATGCGTGGTTGACAATGACGTCACTACACGAGCCAATGTGGAGGGAGCCCAGGCCGTCGATGAAAAACTCTGCAGTGCCAAAAGAAAATGTTGTTTTCAAAAATCCTTTGTTTCTTTAACATTGCTGCATTCTGAAGTAACTGAACAGTGTTGTACTGCATAGCGAAAATAGCCAAATAAACTGCTATGTTAATACATTTGATAGAGAACGTTACTGATAGACTCACCCAGATGACCTTGCCGTGCCAGGCGGGGGTTAAAGCCCACCTGCTGCACCTTGTCTGTCCTCCCCATGAAGAAGTTGATGACGGCATCTGCTACCACACAGTTGGGAAATCCTTCTATGACATGGTGGTAGCCTTTTCTGATATGTAAACAGTCGCCCTCCTCTCCGCCCTCTTCCACTGAAATGGTGTGACGGTATGTAGCAGTGTAGCCTGTCGCCTCCCTAACTGATCCAGCCACCTAATCATACAAAAATGTTGAGATCATTTATCAAAACGTTAAATAAGAATGTATAGATAGACACAATAAGGTCAAACATGCACAATAAGATTATTAAAAAAAACTTGATACAAGGTCTAAAGTTATTTTACATTATTAAGATATTATCTGCTCCATAGTTTCTCTTGGAATAAAACCACATTTTACATGTAAGAGCTTGTCTATGCAGAGTTGTGAACAATTCTGTGCAGACAGGGTGAAGTGAGATAAGGTGTCAGGGCTGAATAACTGTGATAAATGTGTCATACACATTCTAATGTCTCACCAGATCCAGAGTGGTCTTTTCTAAGATGTCCACCATCTGCTCCAGCTTGGTGTTTGTGGTGAAGAAGAAGTCGTCATCCACCCAGAGCACATACTTGGTGGTCACTTGAGACACTGCAAGGTTTCTGCCTGCAAACCAGCCCTGTACACAGTAAATCAAGTCCGATCAGCATATCAACCCTGCTCTGCTGATTAATCACAATGATAATTCGTAGACACATAGCAACCATTTTCTACCTTTCCAAATGGCATGATGTAATGGTCAATGTGAGGCCCGGTCACTGGCTGAGGGTGTTCATTATCATCTGCTATCACTATGGTGACGGTGGGATAATATTTGCGTATGCTGTCAATAAGCTCTTTTAATTTGTCATAGCGTAGAAAGGTCTTGGTGGCGATGGTTACGAGAGCACTAATATTGTATTCTGAGTAGAAACAAGAAAAAAAGTTTAAAAATAACACTCTGAAGTGCCTTTTATACATTGTGCTTCTAATCAAATTGTTAATAATATAACTGCTAACAAACCTTTTTGATATCCAGTGTTGTAAAGTGTAGGTATAGTTCCATGTCCAACTTTAATCGTGAAAAATGACTGGTGACCATCAGTGGCAAAATGAACTGCAGAACAAATATTGACAAAGAGATAAAGCAGAGCATATTTATATTTATAAAAACATTACCACTGAGCAGTAGGAAGAAAGGTTGAATAACTAAAGATTACATTTGTATTTTTTACATGGTAATTTACCTGTATCTGCTGTCTTGGGATGGAAAACAGTGTTTGTGTATGTGACGAACTGCAGCTGCCTGTTCAGAGCAGGGAGATGAGAACTAGACAGTATCATGTGCTTTTCTCCCTCTCCTTTAACAGAGACCTCGTTCACTGTGGCAGCGACATCAAAAACTCCCAGTGTAGCTGTCAAATATACCTGTTACACCAATTGCATGGTTTTGGGGAATAGAATAAACACAATTTTTTTAACATTTAGACCAAAAACCGATGCTCTATCAGCCATGGTGAAAAAATAAATGAAGCAATTACCCTATGGTTTGATCCTTTTTCTTCTTTAAGACCCAGACCTAAGGAAAAAACAACAACAATAACTACAGGGGATATCAGACGGGATGATGGTGAAGCGTTTAACTCAAACACTTAAATAATAAATAAAAGCACCAAAATGAAAGGAAACAACATAATGTTCAAACTATGATATCATGTGCAGTGTCAATCTGGATATGCTGTTACCAGGAATGATGATGGTTTTGAGGGGGCGCACCTCCACGCCCTGTGTAGGATACTGGAGAGGACTGTTGGCTTCAGCTACAACAAGAACATCTGCGGGAGTGAAGGACCTGTACAAACAGAACATATTAGAGAAGTACCTGCATTGCTTCAACACTGTCAAACTGTCAAAGAAAAATCCAGTCCTATTTATTTACCTAATAATAATAATAATAATAATAATAATAATAATAATAATAATGGGTTTCATTTGTAACGCACTTCATATTTGAAGTCAAATCCCGAAGTGCTACAAGCACTAAAGCAATAAATAAATAAAAGGTCTAGGAAAAGGCTCTATTGAATAGATGGGTTTTGAGGCCTTTTTACGGAGCTTGGTCCTGGGGCGTTTGAGGAGGTTGGATTTGCTGGAACGGGAGGTACCTAATGTATGCCAGTAATCACACACTTAATTTGACCACACTTTGCACAAAGAGAAACCATGTTTGGAACATTATTCTATTTGTTTGGATGTACTACATCAAAATCTCATACGTTGAAGTGCTGAAATCCAGTGGCCTTTCAGAAGTGCGTTTTGCAATATTGGAGAGTAAGGGTGTGGCATTACCCTTTTGTTAGGGCTAAAGAAAGGTAGAAAGACAAGATAAACCAGAAAAGGCTTTCAGGATTAAGTTACTATGTCTTCATTAAACAAGCCCCATGCATTAAAACACATTCATCTGAAAAAAGAGAAGAGATCATTTACGCCAGATTTAGACACACACATTATAGTCATCAAACACTTTGCTGTCTTTGTAGTCTTCTGCTTTAACAGAGCAACGTGATGTTTTATATTGAGTCACTCTTTTAAGTGATACTCATACACAACCGGTAAGCGCTGCACCGCCTTATTTCATGTGAATGTAGCCTGATTTATCTACCCAGCTATCTGAAATTTGGAAATCTAATTGAAAGCTGAGAGTAACTGGGTTACTTAAGTGCATTCATGATCCTCATATATTTTTGTAAAAACCTAATGATTACACCTTGTGGGTCAATTGGGCTATCCTTATCTTGAAAAAGTAAAGTCGTTATTATCTTTTTAATAGAAAAATGTATATACTATAGCTGTCTAACATGTAAAGTAATAGGAGTACACAAGGATGTGTTCACTGGCAGTCCGACAGTAGGTGTTATCATGTAAAGTTTACCTCTTTTGGAACCTGCTGTACTCCATAGCCCTGAAACGCTTCACACCCTCGGGGTCAGGATGGGATGCTAAGAACGCCACATCAAACTTGTGGGCCCTAACGCTTGGGAACAGCAGATTGGAAAACGGCAGGCGAAAGCTCTCTTTATCGGCCAGACACATACATGTATTCTGAGCCAAATTACTGTAAAAACAAAAGGGAAGTTAGATGTTAGGAAAAAAGGAGATTTCAACAGCAGAATGAACACATGCTGACTAATAACTCACCCTGCCACATCTTCCTTTATAGTGTAGGCAATGTCATGATAGCCACCAATGGTGTCTCGAGTTTTCTCTTCGATTAGTTTCTTCAGAAGACCCCCCTGTCTTGGCCGTATGTCAACTGCTGAGCCGGTCCCAGGGCTCCAAGCATGAAACAGGGCTAGCAGGAGTCCAACGAGCAAAATCAGCACCAGACACTTCTTAAAGGTGGCACGCATCTAGATGGAAGATTAAAGAAAATGCCAAAAATTACAAATGTAGGCCACACAGGGTAAGGAAAACAAAAGCGTCAGTTAAGAGGCGGATGTCCTGTGTTTTACACGGGAATACATGTCTGTATCTAAGCGCCTCGATGACTTTGAGGTGTGAAGATGGGCGGTGTGGCGCAGTGCGCTGTGCAACGATTATCAGATCAAGGGGGTGAAAGCCGCCTCCGCTGCGTCTGTAAAGCCGTTGTGTCCTTGGGCAAGACACTTCACCTGAACTTGCTCCTGTGGGTATTGTCCACAGTAGACCATTACATGCATGGGCGTCGCAGCCATTATATGAGGGTGGGACAAGTCCCCCCCACTTTTTCAAATGATTAGTTTAGACCCCCCCACTTTTACTATGCGGAAAGTCCGTGAATCGGTCTATCCACTCGCCGCACTTTGTAGAGCGCCGTGTCAGTGCTTCACTATCAAATGAAATCCATTCCACTTGCTTATTGAGAGAATGCCCAAATCAATGAAACTCCGTACCATGTTTTCACTGCTACTTTGTACGAAGGCAGATTCTCACATAGCGCGCGCATGTTCAAGGAGTGTTGTCATAGTTGGACAGCTCAGAGGCCTCATTTATAAAGGGATATACGCTCAAAAAATGGCGTACGCCAGTCTCTACGCAATGTTTGCGATTTATAAAATACTAACTTGACGGGAAAATGTGCGGTCCTCCACGCAAACTCAAACCCATGCGTACGCACTAAGCACACAAACGGGAGAGACGAGAAACTGCGACACCGTTGGCAGAAGAAAGAATGGAGAGAAATATGTGGAAATAATACCATAAATAAAATGTTACCTCTCATTTATCAAATATGAAGAATTCATTTTCAAACATTGATTAAAGCCAATCTTAAAATGATTAAAGAAACGCCTGTTTGCGACTCCTCAGTGCACACAAAAACATAACTTGGAGAAATAAATAAATACGGATATGCTATTTAAAACCACCTCGAATATGTTGTGTTAATCTTATGAAATGTTTTCTCATAAATGATGCGGTAAGCAGGAGGAGAGAATTACGTCTAAACTGACGCCGTTTTGCATTTCTATAGGTTGTAGATACGAGCATGGTTTTATATACTATCACGTTTAATCGTGTTTTATGCCGTTTGCCAAGACTTGATAAGTCGCTCGTAAAACACAGGAGGTATGGAAACTAAGAACACCATATGTGGTAAATTGTACAGCTAATATAACACAACACATTAGTTGTATTTCCTTTAACAGGTGGATTATGGATATATAGTTGCTGATCGACAGCTGGAACACAAACCACCAAATACAACAAAAATAATTCAGATCCAGTCGTCATGACTCCACTCCGGAGGGATTCCCCGATATTACAGTTTCTCATCAAGGGGGTGTCTCCTGTCCCCGGGACAAACACACTGCCTGAGGAAGGTTATGTGTATTTTTTTTGTCATTAACTTTTTTCGGACCACTTATTTATTTATTTTGGTGACGATCCGACCTCCATGCTGCTACTCTGGTTCAAACTGCATCCACCAAACAATATGATTTATCTCCACCTCCCCACAATAACCTAAATCTGACACGGTGTGAGATGTCTTTTTTTAGCTGTTCTATCGTAATTTCCTGCGATCTTCTTCATGCAGTCAGTCAAAATGAATGAATGAATGGGCGTTTCTTTGACTATGTATAGGCAAATATGGGCGTTACGAGTCGATTGTGATATATAAAGGGAAACAGTGCCGTAGCACTTCCCTCGCCGGTACGCAATGTTTTGTGAATCGGAAAATGGCGGAAAATGTATGTACCTATTTTTGTGCTTTGTACTACGTAAGCAAACTTCCTACGTCAATCCTACGCAAGGCGTTATAAATGAGGCCCCAGATCTGTTGTATGAAGCGATGCCGGTAGCGGAGGTAAGGCACACACACCAAATGATCAGGAAAAGGTTAATACAGCGAAAATCAAAGCTGACGATCTCTTGGTTTGATATGTTTTCTCCCCCAGACAACATGGAAATAAGAACATTTTTTTCAAAGAAGAGGAAAGTAAGTCATCAGCTGGTAGCAGTTAATCAGTTAATAGTGATGGCGGTGTCTCACTTCTGGAGAGGAGTTTCGTCTTTATGTCATGATAGAGAGATACAAATACTGAATAGTTTAGAAAAGGCATCGAAATGCCAGGTTACTAGTAGTTATCATGTAAACAGGGAACATGAATAACCCGATCTCTCTGTGCTCATGTAAACACCATATCCCCAATATGATCATAACCGGGATAATACTCAAAAACGGCTTACTGATGTCCATGTAGAGACGCAGTCAGTGTGTTTTACTGGAGCCTCAGTTCGATAAGAGATTATTTTCTGAGTTCTTTAACTTAGGTACTCTCTCTCAAAATGGTAATGTGCATTATGTTTTAATTATACTTCTTATCATTCAGAAGCTTTTTGTGTGTGTTTATGTTTTACTGAGTTAGGCTATTTCCATCCCAGTATTCAGTTAACTATTTATTTTCTGTGCACATTACATAGCATATTCTACCTACTGCTTGGGACTTTGAGTCTTCAAAATGTCCAATGTCACAGACTGGGAATTACTTTAGAGTCAGTTGTATTTACATTCAGTATGACTTGTTATGATTCAATGTGAAAGAGTATACTGCTCAATAAATAATTATCACTTCACCACCTCTCTTGACATCTAGGCACTTGAGTCAGAGGCAGAATACAGGGACAGTGGAGAGAGGTCCATTGCTGAGGTGAGTGATGAAAGGGAAATGACAGTTGAGAGTAAATTGTGATGTGGACTCTCATCCCAGGATTTTAAGGAAATCAGTGGGGATATTGAACAGGAAACATTTCAGTCAAGGGGCATCATATGACCAATATAGACAGAAGAGCAACATTTATTTGAACATTTAAGTCAATGCTACCATTCCTAGGTGAACTTAACATCCGTATGGAGTCAGATCAGTCTCAATATTAATAAATGCTCACAGAAGGATTCACAAATGTATTTTGCGATTTATATATAAATGACTCTCCACAACAATATCTCTCAATGCACTCACAAATATTTATTGTTGTATATAAATGTACAAAAAATGGGCATTTAAACTGCTTTTTATTAATTCAAAGACAGCTCTGAATTAATAATCAAATATGTTTCCTTTCTTTACTACTGGATGAAATTACAAAATGTACCCATCATTTTCCTCATGCTAGTATAGCCACATAAAAGTATCAAACCACCTGTTAAAATGCACCAGAATACAGGAAATCTATATTTTTTTTCGCCCCCACACCCCCCGTTAAAAATGTTCCCCCCACATTCAGGATGCTTCCTACGCCCATGATTACATGTATGTATTTGTATGTGTAATGTGTATTTGTAAAGCGTCATAAAGAGTAAATAAAGTAAATAAAGAGTCATTGATAAAGCGCTATAATAAATATAAGGATTATTATTATTATTATTATTATTATTATTATTATTGATTGTTTTTTTATTTGACAGGAGCCTCAATTTTCCGGCTTTAAAAGCTGGCCAAAAATGTATATAAAATCATTAAACTTGCTGAGACTACGGGCTTGTTTAAAGCTAGCTGGATTGTGTTGTACAATAGTAGACCTTACTGTAAACACCACTAGACTATAACATTTAAAATTATGAATATTAACTTCATTTCTGTTGTCGTGTCTAAAACTGTAAACTGAACTTAAACTTGTAACCACATTTGCACTAAAGAGCTGCTCTACTTTGCACAGGAAACTGTAAAGCCACAGAAAGGAAGTTTCACTGAGGTCTAACTGTTGCTATGACCAAACTGGTTTGTGCGCTTCCGTTCAACCTCACTTCCTCCCTTCCGTTTAACCGTTTAACCGTTTTGTCCGGCAGTGGCTCAGTCAGTAGGGGCTTGGACTGGGAGCCGTAGGGTCGCTGGTCCAAGTCCCCGACCAGACCTAAATATGGAGTGTGGACTTCTACTTGGAGAGGTCCCAGTTCACCTCCTGCCCTGCCGTGGTGCCCTTGAGCAAGGCACCGGACACCCCCCTTCCCCCCACACTCCCATTGCTCCCCGGGCGCTGTACAATAGCTGCCCACTGCTCCTAGTACTAGACTCCTGGTACTAGGATGGGTTAAAAGCAGAGGCCAAATTTCACTGTGTGTGCTGTGTGCTCTGCATGTGTGACCATTAAAGAGGGTTTCATCCCTCCCTATTCTATTCTAACCACCATGATTTCCAGAGCCTTCAGCCGCTCTGCACCCCGCCTCTGGAACTCCCTCCCACCTGACATCCGCAATACTGACTCTCTCCCCATTTTCAAATCACGCCTCAAAACATATCTCTTCACACTCGCATATCCACCCTGATCATTACCCATCACACATCCTGTTTTTATTTATTTGGTTATTTGATTGATTGATTTATACACTGCATTGTCTTGTTTATGTTTCTTATGCTGGTGTTATCTATTGTGTATCTTGTTTTTTATGTATTTGTACGGCGACCTTGAGAGCCTTGAAAGGCGCCTATATAAAATAAATGAATTATTATTATTATTATTATTATTATTATTATTAAACAGCAACATCTCTTCCGCTCTGTCCTCTTTTCAGTTTAACCTCTGCTCAGTTCCCTCGTGTTTTTTGCTAGCACTTAAACTGTGTTATAAAATAGCTGAATATGAATATAGTTGTTCTGCTATACATATCGTTATTCTCTTTACAGATGACACAATCACAATGACATAGTAATTGAATTCTGATTTCATGAATACTACATGTTAACCAGCAGGCAGCAAGCTGCTGTGCTGCTGTGATAAAATCCTGGTTTTATCATTTGACAAATTCAAAAAATAAGCTAGATAAGGAAAACACTTACAATACTTAACTACGAAACAGACACTAACCCTTGCTCGGCTGACTTATGTCATTGTCTTGAAAAAGCTCAGCTTTCCCAGTACACACTAAAACTTTATGCTGACAATTGATCTACTGTGGAGGCAACTATGGAACTAAAGAAGGCAGCTCCAGGCAGTAGTGAGGCTGAAACTGAGAGGAAACAAAGTGTGTTGACATCTTTGAATGTGGACGCACATTGGGGCTCATCCTCCTCGAGGGCCAAGGTGCACTCTCTCGCAAAATGGAGCGCTCCAAGCTATTATCAAGAAGATGATCTATTGTCTGGGTGAGGAACAGTCTCACAGCGAATTTGGTCAGAGGACAGCACCAGAGAGTCAGATTGTAGAGGCCGACACTCTCTGAGGAGATTTCACTCTGCAATGTTCTGTTGATTTACGTCATGGTAAAAGGTTTTATCCTAACAGATGTGCAGAAGGTTCTTTGAATCACAGTATTTGCCTGTTAGGCTCAGTGCTTCAACCTTGTTTTTCAAACGAAGGGTGTTTTTTGAGGCTTTACCCTTGCCAGTTATTTTAGAGTATGTTTCCGAAGTGACTGTTGCCATATTGCTGCTCTTAAAGATTGGGCATGGTCTGATAGCTAGCAGCACAGGTGGGAGCACAAGTACTCAGATCTTGTACTTAAGTACAAGTAAAAATACCAAAGTGTAAGAATACTCTGTTACAAGTAAAAGTCATGTTTTCAAAATTTGACTCAGGTAAAAGTACAAAAGTATTCACATCTAAATATACTTAAAGTACCAAAAGCAAACATACTCATTATGCAGATCAGCCCATTTCAGAATAATATATATAATATGTTTTGATTATAATTATTGATGTATTCATATGTTTGTCAAGCTGGTTGAGCTGGAACTAACTTCAATTACTGCGGGGTAGCATTTGAATTTAATCCAGGTGTATCTAAAGTATTTCTTAAGTGTAGATCATATTGTTTATCATTTATTTATATCTGCAAAGTAACTAAATATACTACATAAATGTAAAAGTAAAATATTGACCTCTGAATTGTAGTGGAGTACAAGTACCTCAAAATTGTACTTAAGTACAGTACTTTAGAAAATGTACTTAGTTACTTATCACCACTGGCTAGAAATTCTGACTGCTTTGCTGTTTCACTACTGTATGCTTCACAATTGTTCACTATGTCAACAATTGTCATGATAAAAGTATTATCAAAGTTAGGCCACTGGGTCTGGATTCTATTGAGCTGAAACCTCCATTTGACATCACAGTTGGCGATCACATTAAATACTTCACAAATGAAAAACATGCTGGGATGCTATTTTAAAAGGAACGTGTTTTTATAGTTGCTTTGTTGTAACAACAAAAGTGAACTTGCTGATGCAGGTGTAATTGTCATGCACAGGCTGCACCCATGCAAAACATAATTCCCTCTCAATGCAATGGTTTGCTGCAGAGAGCACACAAAAAAGAAAAAGAAAAAAATACAAATAAAGTATAACCATAAAACTGTAGAAAGTGTAGCCTATCTTTATGATCACATGAGACATATTTAATGTATTTTATGGTTTTGACTGATTAGAAGCAGAAGTCTGAATAAGGTTTTATTTTATTAGTTTAAATATTCTGTCATTAAAACAAGTTATCACATGTATTGTGACAGCATAAACTAAAATATAATCTAGTATACGGAATTGAACCCTGCAGCAAACATCTAAAGAGTAACGCTTATTAGTTCTCCAGGCTGAATACAATATCTCACAGGGTTTGTTTGTCGTGTTCATTCAGAATATTTTTCAAAACAGGTTTGGCAACTACACAACTGAATTCATGGCTGTGTTAATGTATTACTTTGTTCCCCAATTTCATGTGTCTGTCTGTGAACATAGTAAACACTTTAGCCTAACAAGAAAAAATAACATGTCTAACTAGTTCTTAAAGTCCTTGTCTAACTTTCTGTATACATTCATTCAACCCCACACTTAAATGTATTATTTAAAACATATTATTCTAAAAAACAATTATCAAGAACATTAGGAAACAGGCAATAAAAACCGTATCTCAATGCAATATGATAAGCAGGCCCAACATTTATTGTTTACATCCAAGTAGACGAAAGAACATGAAGAATATAAATTAACATACTTCTTACTGTTGTCGTTTCTGTAGAATCCTTCCTGGACACCTGTGTTAAAATGTGACAAACTGTGTCAGCGATCTTTCCTGTGTGTCGGAAGAAATGCGTGTTTTTTTAGAGTTGTGGACTTTGGTCGCTGCTTCGATCCGAGCCACTCCTTTAGAAGGCGCGCACAAGTCAATCCTATCAGCGTCACCACAAAGCGATTAAGCGAACCAGGTTTTCCGTTTCCTCATTACTTTTTGAGTTGCACTTATTGGGCCTCCATGGCTTTCAAACCAGGACGCATGTTGGCATGTGATGCTGCTTCAGCATTACGCACAAACAGGTTTCACACTGCAGTGCTAGATGATACTATTTGATTAGGGAAATAAGGCTTCACTTCCGGCCGGGTCAAAAATTGAAAAACTAGGAATCTTTATCTGTAATGTCAAGTCAAGTCAAGTCAAGTTACTATGAGGGCAGATTCACATAAAGTGCTTTTTTTCATTTAAATTATACATCTTGTCGTAGTTAATTTTCAAATTCAACATTTTTAAACACATTTACTCTGTATTTGTAATAGGCAAGAAGGAGTATGTAACATCAATATTTAAATAGGTAATTTAAGTGTTTCGTGTAAAACAAATCAGACACCATGACTTATTATTCATGTTTGTTAATTAAATCATGTCTGGAAGTGATATTTAGAATTTCTGTTCAATATTTATTTAAGAATTACCATAAGTCCACAGCAAATAGAAATACAATGCATTAGTGGTGACATCAATATTAGTTAATTAAATTATTTTTATCAATATAGTTGTGTTTTTTTATTTTCCAGCTCATGTCTTGTAATAGGTACTCAATACATATTTAACCTTTTTTTGTATGACTGTCTTGACATAATTTTGCATTGACTCTACTGATTGTCTTAATGTTCCAGACTCATTAACTGCATAAATCAATACACTCAGGGCCGGTTCTAGCCAATGTGATGCCCTAGGCGAGATTTTAGCTGGCGCCAATACAATTTTGAATCTGTATTTTTGAATATCGATCTTAAATTGGCGTGACGTTGAAGCAGCGACCCTGCTGTAGTTCGTTTATAGCATAACGTTAGCATTTTGCTTCTGTCGATTAGATTTATGATTCAAAAATGATAAAAGTAGGGTAGGGTAGACATGTGGATATTATCCGGCTGAACAAAACGTGCATTTATCAAACAGGTTCGTTCTCCACAGATCTTATTTCGAGCTATTTTCCAAAATCCTATGGAGAAATCCCATTGCTTTTTTGTCAAGGGAACCCATGCGCAGCTTACTTCCGGGTTTTAGAACGCGTCACTGCACCACTCTATAGAGTGGCGAAGTCCCTCCCCTTCCGGTGGACCTCCATGGGACCTTATTTCGGAAAGATTATGTATTGAAGTCAATGGAGAGAGAAAGATTATCTTTCGATCCCGTTTGAATTGTGCCACGAATTACACATATGATGTTTGTCAATTTAAAAGATAATTTTGCAAGTCAAAAAAATGTGTCGTAAAACTGTGAAGTAACACTTTTGTTTGTGTGAAACGCTCAATGAACTACATCTCTGGTCAACAACACACGTCACCAAGATGGCCGTCACTACTGTCTTGTCAACAAAACGATTGATTACCCTCACTATCACCACAATGAAACACGTCCTGAAGAATGCCATGCAAAGCTGCCTGCCTGCCTTCCTTTGATTCTCTCTGAACTGCCTGGTCTTTTTAATGTTTAATGTCAACCATTTGTGCAGATAGCATGAAGTAGAGAAGATCGCCGATGCTAGCGTTAGCGTTAGCATTTCTCCCCCGGGCTTAAATTGTGTATTATAGAATGATCACACCGGTGACAGTACTATTCAAAGGGTTCACGAAATATGACTACTACTCTTACTGTTTAACATTTTGGGTTACTTAATGTTACTTCATGTTAAGGCTAATAAAAATGACAAGGCTGTAATGCTAACTAACGTGCTAGCTACTAGCTAGCTTGATCCAGACACTCCTGGTTAGGGCTGTGCAATTAATCGTATTTTAATCTCGATTACGATTTTGGCTTGCAACGATTACGAAAACAATGTAATTGAAATAAAACGATTATTATTTTTATTGGTTTTTCAGTTGAATTATACTTAAAGTTCAGGGTAATCAACTGTTAAAAACATACTGTTCAAATTTTCTTTTTCAATATATGGATGTTTTCAAAGTAAATGGATAATCGTTTTTAATAATCGTGATATCAATTATTGACCAAAATAATCGTGATTATGATTTTTGCCATAATCGCACAGCCCTACTCCTGGTCCTTTCATCAGACGGGAAGCGAAAGAACGAGCAAGACCCATTGCTGGTATGATAACAACCTGGTACTAAGCACACAGGCATCTTGTTAAAGTTATATTATCTTAGCTATCTCTTAGTGGAGGAAAACAATTGTGACATCACTTACGCGACTCTGGGATTTGTAGTCTTTCTCGTTGCGTATTTTTCATAGTCTTATATTTCAACAGTTTTACGACAAACTGTGACTTTTTTGACATGGAAATGATTTTTTAAGATTGACAAACATCATATGTGTAATTCATGGCACAATTCAAACGGGATCGAAAGATAAGTTTTCTCTCTCCATTGACTTCAATACATTATTTTTCCGAAATAAGGTCCCATGGACCGGAAGTAGATACACTGCACACAACCACACATTCTTTAATCTTTAATTAACTTTATTTAAAGTGATTACATCTGTAGCTGTGGAGATATGTCATTCTAGATTATTGTATAGGCTTTGTTAGTCTGACACCTAGTGGTCAGGATTACAAAAATGCCCTCTCTTTCCTTTTTCGCTTATGTCACAGCATATTCCAGTCACTTATTAAACAATTATAAATACATGTAGTAGCCTATAAATCAAACTACTTCATTGCAGTTAATGCATTGCAGGATGTGAAAGGCGGCTTCCTCATTACGTCACCGACAGCCAGCCAATGAGAGGCCGCATTTTCAGAGCTTTAGCCATTGATGCTGAAGAATGTAAATCTACTGTGAGCCTTGCACCCTACAAATCATCTTCTTTGTCGAAGGAAAACAGCGACGACTTCAATCAAAAGCATTTCACCGGATGAATGTGACTAACGTGTGACGACATGACTGACAGGTGTATCAGGCTGCTGCGTTTTTAAGAAACAGGAAATATGCCGCTGCTAAAGGCTTGAGGGGTTGCAAGCATATCGTGCTCACAAAGGCTGATGCCCCTGCAAAGGTAAATAACACAAACATAAACACATTTTTACTGAGTGGAAATATACACACAGCTACTAGTGTGAATAACATTTCCGCAGATTCATAGTTATGGGTCTGACTTCCACATGGCCTTAATTCGCTGTCGCAGCAGTCATGTGTTTTGGTGTAAACGGATGTAAGCCTCGATTAGACCTACTGGATTGTCGCCTATTTTATTCATAGTCAGGATAATGGAAGGAAGCATTAAAGGTGGAGAGTACGTGTTTATCAAAAACAACAGTCGTCATGTTAACTGTTAAAATCTGCCTTTGGGGTCTTTAACCACATCATTGAGGCAACACAGACTTATATGTAGCAGTGACCCACTGACACTGTCAAGTCAAGTGTAAAGTCCATGTCCACAAATACTTCTCTAAAGTTCTCACGACAAACTGAACGTGTTGTATTAAAGCAGGGTTAAGTGTAAGATTTAAAAACAAATCTGACTTGAAGATGGAGAGAAATTTAGTGATAAGGTTAATAGCAAAACGTTGACGCCTCTTTATTTCTGGGTCAATCAATATGATACCACCATTTTTATTGGGGCACAATTTCTGATTTAGCCTACATTAAGGTACAAATAATTTAGGTTGGGAACAAAAGTTCTACATGTTTACACAGTCAGTTTCTGTGCACAGACTTTACTGCTTTGTAAAACAGTTGTTTGTGGTTCCTGTCCAAATGTATTGCAATAACATGCAGGATTTGTAAGACAACAGTTCCCTGTTAATAAAGGATGGGGAGATTAGGCTCCTGGGGGCAATGCTTGAAATGGTTTGTAGTCTGGATATGAAAAGTGCAACCCATAACAGAGTGTTCTCAACCCCCATTTTTTCATTTATTAACCATTCACTCAGATTTGTTTGCCTTTTGAGACACAATGATTTGCAAAATAATATTAAAGGTACTTCAAGAGACACATAGCAGGTATGTCAGTCCATCAAGCTGTGCGTTGTGTTCCCGTGTAGGCATGGTGTAACTGGGACATCACTGTGCTTGGAGCAGTCTCACCATGAAGGGCTCCAGCTCCAGATTGGCCTTCTCCCTGGGCTTCCTGGTGGGGGCCTGCAGCATCTACTTTTTCCTGCGCCAGGTGTGGTTTGAGAGGAGTTACCCGGTGCTGACAGAGGCCCAGGAAAGAGCCACAGCGGTGTCGGAGAGCCCAACCAGCTGGAGGAAGGAAGGAGCTGCTCTCATCAACCTGCTCCACCCTCACCATGCAGGTGCTTTACTCTCTTTCACGCTGATCCTCTAAAGATTAAACCATCTAGTATGGGCTGACAAATAATCAAAACGCTGTATATCTTACCCATCATAGCTAGATTTGACCAAATATAACAATATTAAGTAAGATGCTTGTTGTGATTATGGTGGTGGTGAAGTAAAAAAAAGAAAGCATTATAGCACACCACACAGAAGGAATGTGGAGTAAACTGATTGGATATGGAGCTGCCATGCTCATGTGCCATGGCATTGGGCCATTCCTGATGGAACTACAGATACATTTAGTCCACTGCCCGCCAGTTATACAGTTTGATGTGTGTCCTTCTAGATGAAGACAGCCGGCTGGCAGATGTGTTGTACCAGAAGGTACGCGTTCTTTGTTGGGTGATGACAGGGCCGTACAACCTGCAGAGCCGGGCCCGCCATGTGAGGGCCACCTGGAGTCGCCACTGCAACGTGGTGGTGTTCATGAGCTCTGTGGAGGACCCAGACTTCCCCACTGTGGGCCTGGGCACTAAGGAGGGCCGTGACCAGCTCTACTGGAAGACCATTCGAGCTTTTCATTATGTCTACGAGCACCATGCGAGTGAAGCAGATTGGTTCTTAAAGGCAGACGATGACACCTTCGTTGTGGTGGACAACCTGCGCTGGATCCTGTCGAACCACACCCCTGAAGAGCCCATCTACTTCGGCAAACGCTTCAAGCCTTACACAAAGCAAGGTTACATGAGCGGAGGGGCTGGCTACGTGCTGAGCAAAGAGGCCCTCAAGAGATTTGTGGAAGGCTTTCGGACCAAAGTTTGCACACACATCACCCCTGTAGAGGACTTGGCGCTGGGGCAGTGCTTGGAGAAGATGGGTGTTCAGGCGGGGGACTCCAGAGACACTCTACATCGAGAAACGTTCCACCCGTTTGTGCCAGAGCACCATCTAACTGGCAAATTCTCAAAGAGCTTCTGGTACTGGAGCTATTGTTACTACCCGATTGTTGAGGCAAGTCCCTTCACTTATGTTTTATGTGTCAGTTAGTGCTGCAAAATGTTATTACAGTATGAGATGGTAGAGATCGTAAAAGCAAATCATGTATTTGTGCTCGAAATGCTTTAGAAGAGCACATCCAGTTGACTGAGGGTTAAGAAGCATACCATATAACCCAAAAAAACATAGTTTGATTTTCCTCAGGAGCTTTTGCTACATGTCATATTACACTCTCCCCATATTTATTGCCTCTATGTTCTTTGTTAGCTGTCTAAATGTGCCTTAAATGTCACAGTTGAAGCAGAAGGTCGTTGTCTGATAGCTTTGTGATAAGACCGACATCCTGTGGAGTGGATTAGCCTTATTAAAGGGCAAGTCAAGTTAGGAAGACAAGCTATTGGGGGAGTGAACCTATTAGTTGAACATCCTTTAATATCATTAGTTTAAATATGCACTTAAAGTAAGAAGAGTGTCCTTACATTTTGAAATGTAGGGGTCTATTCTCTATGTGTTCAGTATACTGTTTGTTTGCTCTTGATGAATTAAGCAAAATGTAGGTAATCATCACAGGGACAATAACTAAATAAATTATTTTGGGATTATTTTGCACATTTGAATGCCGCACCTGAACCCGTCATAGAACGAGTGAATTGAAATAGAGATGAGTTCATTTTAAAGTAGATGATTGCAGCCGAGACAATGTCCTGTCAACAAAGGGAAAATTGGTCAATTTGTGGCAGATAATGCAACTCATTTATTGTACTTTACAATTCCAATGAGACAGGTTCATTACTGACACTGTCACACACTTACTGCCTGCGTATTGAGCTGTATTATCCTCGGTTTGAAAGGGAAACAGAAAACAAATCAATTTTTAATATAAGTAATTATCAGACTGAACAAATGTCGTTTCAAAACTGTCAGCATGTCTCATTATAAAAACAGACTCAAAACTACCAACACAAAGACTCGTTCCTACAAACAAGTATTTTATCTTTCGAGACCAAACTTAATAGGTTATATTTCTGTGCAACATACGTCTGTTTGACAAAAGCTGTTAAAAACACATAAATGAATCAAACTATTGCACTGGGTAATAGCTTAAATCAAGATGAACATGGGCATTTTATCTTGAGTCAAACTTGCATGTAAGGTAACCCTGTTTACCCCTGTTTGTGTAACATTTGCTAAAGACCTCAGTGCCCAGTTTTTTAGGAAATCACCTGGCTTTTAAATGCCGTACTGCAGCCTTGGTGCCGTCAGTCTTTTCATGAGATTTATAGTTTGATGCTAGCCTTATCCTTTAAACACAGGAGATGTGCTTTATGAAACATTTTTATATAATAAAGGGGATTTTTACATTGACTTGTTAATCGTAATCACAACAATTTAGGCAATTGTTAGGCACATAATGCCAACAGCATTGTCAGTTAGAACTCTCCAATTAAATAGAGACCGTATTTGCTCATAATCTGTTTGCATATAACATGTTCCTATGTATCCCTTGAATGACATGTGTCTTTTTATTTATTAGAAGTTTATTGAAGTCATTACCGTAAGGTCTTTTCACTGTACAGACACCTTGTGCAGCTAGATATTTAATGATACATTTATCTTTTGCATACATTTGACAGGGAAACATGTGAAATCTGTCTGCACTGCGGTGAATGTCAGGGAATACCGCTCTAAATGAAAAATTGCATCACATTTTTTACATCATCACATTTATTGATGCTAAAATGAATTTTTTTTGATGGGTTTTAATTTCATGTGTTAAATGTGTCTCTAAATGGTCTGTTTTTCTTCCTCAGGGTCCACAGTGCTGCTCTGACCTGGCAGTGTCTTTCCATTATGTAGAAGCAGAGCTGATGTACACTCTGGAGTATTACACCTATCACCTGAGAGCGTTCGGCTACCGGCCGCGCTACCGGCCCTCCGTACGCCAGGGTCTGACCCCCGGCCCACTCTCACAGACAGTCGTGACGGCAGGACTTAAAGCGGTTCAGGTGGTGACAGATGGAAGGGGTCACACAACTTCAGCCTCCTCGCTCGGTGGAAACACAACTAAATCAGAGACTGAGCCAGAGAAACTTGGGAAAGACGATTTAAACTCTGGCGTCACAGAGAACCGGACTGGAGTCACTCAGGGCCGGCACCGCTGATTCTGTGTTCGAGCCGGGGATGATTTCCCTGCACAGTATGTTGGAAAATGTTTTCTTCTGACCAGTGCTTGAATTGGAATAAAAAAGGTGCCAGTACTCTAAATCAGCAACTGTTTCAAGTAAATTTATTTATACAGCCCAAAAACAAGAATTTGGCTCAAAGTCATAGTATATCCTATAATGCTGGTGGGTTTGTCTCTTTACTGTATATTTTAGAAAGGCTCACTGTACTAAACAAAATGACTCGGGGTGCATCTGAGTTTAGAGGGGGTGCAGGGGTAAAGTGCTATTTTTATAAGTGGGGAGTGGATCTAACACAAGATTTTTTTTTTAAATATTGAAGTTAAATGCATCAATCTGGTGCACTTTGAGAAAAAAATTAAGAGATCTATGGATACATCTCTCAACATCCATATGAAACAGAACTGTAAACAGATTTTCTATTTCTTTATGGATATTTTACAAATCACTCCCCTTGTTTTACTGTCATATAGTATTTCATTTTTAGTGAGTTACTCAGATGAGTACCAGGAGACAGCATTTGGTACTCTGGTACAATTGTGGTGAAGGCATCTGAGTTAGATGTATTTGAACCGAAATGTCTACAGGCATAGCAGAAGATGGCATCTTTTTTACAGGAACTTCCAGCCAATCTCTGTTTTTAAACCATGAGCTGCAAAATGAGCGCCTTACCCCACTGTACAGGCGAGTTGGGAACTTGTTTGAATATACCTGGGCAGGCTCTGTTTTGCCGAGGTCCTCTGGCACTTGCGGGCCGCCGAGGGGTGGCGGTGTTTGGGGCGACGAAGACTGCTGCTCCGGGGTCGAGGCGGGCAAAGCGGCGGCGGCACCTCATACCTTATGACGCATCTACTGAATACTGAGTACCGGCACCGTGCCGGTACTCGGTAAGAAGTAACGGTACCAGATGGGTAAAAATCAGAAGTCCTGGTACTGCGTACCGGTGAGTACCGGCCCAATTCAAGCACTGCTTCTGACCGCTCTTCCTTGATCCGATCGCAGTGTTTTTCCAGTCAGTATGACACCGTGAGCCCTCACAGTGAGAATGCTTAATATTTGGATATGATTTAGTTGCAGCTCCTATGCGTTGACTGTTTTTTTAACCAAGATAAACTTTTGGGTTTATTGCGCTTTAAATAGTCATTTTAGTTAATTAACTTATGATGTCACAAAGTCTTAAATATGTGTTGAAAGTAATACAAGAAGAGGCGCATAGAATATTATTTTACCTAATAGTCAATAATACAGCAACACATTTTCTTAATATATATTTTAAATTGTTTTTTAATTTTGTTTTTTAAATGGACAGCAGCGACAAATGGCAGTGTGCTGCTTTTCTTTACATTGTATTTGCTTTTATTGTGTTATATCTGATGTTCTCTGTACATATCTGATTAAAATGTTTAATTTCAAATTAAACCATTACAACATGTATTCTGTTTGCCTTTGTGTCTGCATTTTTCTTGTAGAGTACATTTTTAAACTCTCTAGGGCTAAATTGTTAAAGCAGACTCTAAATCCACAGCCAGCAGTGATACAGTGTTCACTTTGAGTTTGAAAAGCCCCACCTGTTAAAAATGTACTTACTTTTTTCCTTTGAATGATATGAGATGCTCTGATGTAGAATAGGAAACTTCAAACCCCCTTGTTTTTGAATACAATGTGGCTTTTGATAAAACGGATATTATATAAAACAACAATGAAGTCCTTTTGTCAAGTTATTTTAAGTAACCAACAATAACAATTGTATCAGGTGTGATTGAACATAGCTGTATGCAGTGGAGCCATTAAAAAAAACACTCATAAACAGCTTCAGGAAAATGCACCAATGTTTTAAATGAATAGATGATTTATAAAAAAAGATTGGTTTATTTTGAACATTTTAAGCAAGAAGAAGAACATAAATATAATGTATCGGCTGTCACTATAATCATGTTTTGTCTTCAGATTAAACAAATACAATCAGTTTAGTTTATATTCGCTCTCATAAGCCAAGCTGGCAGGTTAACAGTGTGAATCACGCCATTTATTCATTTCCATCAGACATTTTGTTAATTTGTTGTGTTTTCTGTGATCTTCTGTCATCGATGCCAGGTGAGAGAGTTGCTTCTGAAGGAAGTTTTACAGACCCTGAAGAAACCTGCAACAAAACACATTGTATATAGTGTATTTATATATGAGTATTAATCCCACGCACATACTATTTAAATATGTACAATAAATGATTTCATACATTTCATTGATAATGCCAATATGAGATATACTAAAAAGAAAAGCATACAGAGAAAATATAAAAGAGTGATTTGAGTCAGCAGTGCTTTAAGTTTCAACCCCATATATTTCAAGAGGCTTTAACTTTTCTTTAGTAAATATGTTAAATCTACTGAATGAAAAATAAAGTAGAGGCACTCACCTCAGCCTGCACTTGTTGAGAAAAATGCCTCTCCTCTCTGGATACTCTCTTCTCAAGGGACCATTATCTGTGAGAGCAGACATTGCAATATAGTCACATCAAGATATATTGTCTGCATGATGAACACCACACATTGAATCTGAATGCTTACAAAAGCCAACAGAGCTGTTATGAAAATGTGACGTTTTGTGAAATGCCACACTTACCAGGCTCTGAGTTTCTCTTTCCCATAAGACCCACAAAAATGTCATTCATTTCCCCTAAAAAAGGAAGAATAGTAACCAGTCAGTTTGTGTTTTATGATGATTTCAAATAAGAAAGCAAACACTTCACATCAGTACTAACTCATAAAGATCTTACTTTTTTGTGGTGCAGGTACAACGCTATCATCTGATAATAATTAAATGAAACCGAGACGAAAAGACAAAGAGCAGTATTGTAAAATAGAAGAACACTTTTGAGGAAATAAAATCTAGATCAAAATACTATTTGTAAATCACCAGAAGGGACAGCATTTACAACAGTTTATCGCATTTTTTATTTTTTATTTAATTAAGTATTATTAACACGAATTACTTCTATACATTTTAGAATGAAATCAGTGGGAGACTTACCGGCATCTCTTCTGCCCATCAGACCTACAAAGCTGTCATAATCCAAATCGCTATACCTCTTCAGAATGTTCCGCTTGAGGTTGTCCAAGACTGTGGGCTTCTGCAATTATGAAAAGCAAAACAAATAAACAATCAGTTTATGTTTAAAATATGACGTGCAAATCAGCTTTGTCACTGCGCGCCCGGAAACCTACTTCTGATCTGCGCGTTCCGGGCTCCTCGCATCTGGAATGGCTGTATCGAAGTTTCATGATGAGGAACAGAGTCACCAGCAGCACACCTCCCTTCATTTTCTCAGCACCTCCTGCGCAAAAAAACAGTTATCCTGTTTTAAAAAGTTGTTTCGTTTTAGTCAAAAATATCGCTGAATCAAATGTACCCATTACGCATAGCCTGTTGCGTAATTGGTGCGTAAAAGTGCTCGGTGTAAGGTTTACAATTATATATTTCATGACATGTATTTGTAATGTTGTTAATACATTATTGTTTTGATTCTCTCGTATTTATCCAGCGATGACAGAAACAAAGAGACAACAATAATATCATGCATTCTCTCTCCCAAAAGTCACATTAAACCATTAAATAAACTTCTTAATGGAAGAAAAATACAATGGTCTAAAATAAAATGAATAGAATAAATATGTTCACATTTTTACTTTAAGCATTTAAAAGTTTTTCCTTTACCTGTTTTCTGTCAAGCAGATAGTTTGGTAAAAGAGTCTGCGTGCGCCCTGGTGCAGAGAAGTGAAGAAGGATAGATCCTGCAGTGAGATCAGGCCAGCATAAATGAGACGTCCACGCTCTCTGCTAATAAATAATAACTGGATACCTGCGTAACGCCAATCAGCAACCAGAGCGTAGGTGGAGTATCATGTCTTATCACGTTGTGCCTACGTAGAATACACACTGATGGTCATGATGCTGCTGAGAGCTGCTGCCTCCCCACTAACACGCACGTACAGACATCATCAGAAATACACGTATTGGCAACGTCACGAGGATAAAGGTTCGTGACTTAAGTCCATCCCTGAACCTATTTAAAATAAATATTTGATTCCAACTGCAATTTTATTTAAAGAAAGCATCAAAAACACATTGTTACATCTTGTTTGGTATAAAGTGGACATGTGTGCAGCAGTTTCACTTATCCATGTCTTTGCCATCATCCTCACATGGTGTCATTCCACCCCATTGACCAGTAGAAATGGTCATTGTCAAGATACTAATCTTTTTAGGAAGTAATTATACAGCCAGCATCTGCCTCTGCTGTCCCAATAGAAGATGGTGATGTATGTGACTGGAGGAGCCACACAACTGTCTGTTTGTAATGAAAATAAACACAATAATTTGTCCACCTTACTGGGTGGGTTTTGGTTAGTTGACGGGATAACATGTAATTTTCCCACCAAACTATCTGAATACAAACGAGAATTCTATTTTTGACAGTATTCAAGAGAACAATGATATGTTGTCATGACTGACAACTCAACACCAGATTTGATGTTAGGACCGACACATCATCACCAGCATTGACGCAATGGGTAACACGTGGTTCAGAGGGTCACTTGAAATTGCTTTCATGACTGCTGAATTCTCTCTTATCGGCTCTGACAGGTGCTGAGATGAATTCAATTGTCTGTCTTGTAACTTGTATACGCACAGACAGTGTGACACTTTTCTTCATACTTTTTACCTTGAGCGGCACTGCATGATTACGTTGCTCTGGTAGTGCTGTATCATTTTCTCATAAATAAAACATTCAAGTAAATCCTGAAAATATATTTATGTGTAACGTATTTTCCCTACATCATCAGCAGCTGAAAACAACTTTTTATTTAATGCCCCTACCAAACCTATAATTTTCATGCAATTACACAAGCAATTACACTTGTGTTGGTGTTCAGGCACACAATCAGAATGGAAAGAAGCATGAATATTTCAGCAAAGCAAAGTTTGAGATCACAGCTATAAAACCGTCACAGGGAACCACTGCAGTGCAGATATAAATGGCTGTGCTCTCTAGAGACTGAGACCTGTTTGATGAGGGTATGACTCCCACAACAAAGCACCACGCATATAGTGTCCAAATAGTGCACTTCACAAAAGGTTAACACTGATATGTTTTAGTAATGACTTCCTATTTCCATATTTGTCCTGTTCCTGGATGTAACGTGGGGATGGCAGCAAAGCAGGGAAGGGTTCGTGGTGGGAGATCTGACAGAGGTGGGGGAAGTCATTAATTGCATTTTTACATTATTGATGAGTGTTTTTTCATATGGTTGGTAATCATCAAAGCAGCCCTGTTTTTTGAACTGACAGAGAGTACAGGGAAAGAGGGCCAGTGGCTGTTTATCTACAACTTGCCATAGCATGAGGAAGCTTCTCATCCAACCGAAAGTGAATGGATCTTGGGTCAGATGTGCTGCAGGGCTAAATGGACGACCCTCAATATATCAGAGGTAGTCACATGACATGACATGTACCCTCTGCTGTATTGCATGTGGACGTCATTCATTACCGTCACACCTTTTATCAAAAAGATCAGACTTATAATGGGCTCAGTGGTGCGGACAGCTGAGTGCTGAAAGGTCAGCAGGACATTCACGGTTGACTTACTCCCAGCTGGATTCCAATGGTATCTTTAGATAGAAGTATTGGAGAAGACAAAGATAAGAGACACAGCTCAGTCTCATGATAAGATCATTTAAGGATGTGTATGAAGGACTGAGTTTTGTATTGAGGTCTAATACTCCTATAAATGACATGAGTAGTCAGTTGAAATATAAAAAAACTTCCTGGCCTTATCCTTTGTCTTTTCAGGTCCTTCTCAAACATTGATCTGCATGTGTGTAAAGAGTAGGCTGTCTGAGTGTGAACATCATTTAAATATCCTCTGGTTTGCCCTCACGTTCTCTTTTTTAGCGTTTGCCTAATGGTCATGCTTTTCCTGTTGTCGCTTGTTGAATTAACAGGCTGAAAAGTTAGAGATGACCTTGCAGTTTAACACATATTAAGAGCATAAAAGAGAGTGTGTGTGTCTTTGAGGACACATCATGTATTGTAGAGTGTTTATCTCACATCATTTCTTTCATTGAAAGTCATTGGAAACGACATAACACATGAGTTATTCTGTGTAGTTGTATATTCAGAGGAGGGAGACAGAATATAAAGCCCGTACAGCCACACTGTTATTCCTCTCCTGCCTCTCTAATGGAGCTGCCAGTCATCCATTTATGCAGGCTTTCAGGGTCTGAGGGGGGGAGAAGATAAAGTAAGTTCCAGCTTGGAGTTGAGAGGTGACAGTGACGCGACGGCCCCTTATATGGTAGAGATGTTATGAAAGAATAAGCGGCCAGAGGGAGACTGGAAAGCAGAGTGTGCGAGGGTGAGAAGAGAGAGTGAGATTG